TCCAATGAAATAACAAAACAAACAGCATGCACACGCACAAGTGCCAGTTACCATTTCCATGGCATCATATTTAACACACTATCGCATTCCCCATACACCATTCACCTATTTCCAACTATTTGCGCATTCCTCCTCCTTGGCAACGGCGCTAGGTAACTCGTTGCTATGTACGATTTGTATCACGGAACGTACCGAAGCAACACAATTTTCTTTTCCTGCTATCAAACAGTCCCTAAAGAATTCCATATTTTCATCCTTGTAACCTGACCTGGCCCGACCTTGCAGGGTCCGATTCCGTCCGCGCATGCCACGTTTGATTCAGTGGCCTTGAAGTCGTTCTAATATTTCTGTGGCACTGCGGAGTTTGATCATGAACATCTTCAGACTGCTGGGTGATCTGTCACACCTTGCCGCGATATTGATTTTGCTTTTGAAGATTTTTTCCTCTAGGTCATGCAGAGGTTTGTCATGTATTTGCCTTATCACGAATCTTCAGGTCTCTCTGGGAAGACGCAAATTATGTTCGCGCTTGTTTTCACTACCCGATATTTGGATTTGTTCGTTTATTACGTGTCGGCATATAACACCATTATGAAGCTAACGTTCATTGGACTATCATATGGTACGGTTTACCTCATGTATCGCCGCTTCAACACAACGCTTGAAACTGGGGATCGGTTTTTCCGTCTTCCCTACTTCATCATTCCGATCGGAGGACTTGCCTGCCTGGTCAACCATGGATTGCACCCTCTTGAGGTCGGCTGATAGTATACTCTTATTCTAGGGCGTTCCACAACCCCAAGTATTAACGCATACCGTACTACATATCGTGACGCTACGATTCAATTAGAGGATAGACACTTTTAGTATCCATTTGAAAGCCTTTAAACTAACATTATTAGCCGTGCCAAGTATTAGTAAATACTTACTTCCGACAGTAAATCGAGCTTAAATTAAGCGTAGCTGCCTTCTTACCTGCTCTCCATGGCTTTGTTCTACTCAGTCATACTTCACTCCTGGTGTCATTTCACTATTGACTGCATGTTATCCTACCTCAGGTGCGACCATAAACGCCACTTGCACGTTTGTTTCTCGTATTTTGTTAACTTACGTAGCACTTTACTAAATGACGTCCCATGTAAAGGAATCATGGCAAAAGTTGATGAATGCTTGCTCTACAATATTTGTTGTTCTTTCGGAAGTGACCTCGTCAATAAATACCTCAGCGAATGTCATTCCTGTCGGTCAAGATGTATCCCACCCACGCAATACGATACAAATCTTTGGTGCTTTTCTGGTCACAGATGATAATCAACGATGCTGCATCAAACGGATAAATAGGGATGAGAGAATTACTGCCAAAACCTACTTTTTATATCTAAGGTATTGTGGGCGAAAGTTTGCTTTGCTTTGAGCAGCGCGCAGACCCCTATGGCCACACCCAAGCAAAGCCGAACTTGGGCTGCTACACTCAATACAGAAAACTTCAACAGTATCCGCTTTGCTCAAATGTAACTGACTGTTCAGAGGTCTGCCTGCTTGCGAAAGAACTCGAAAACCAAAGTCAGCACACTAATTACACTGACATCTCAATACAACGGCGTCCATTGGTTTCTACACGGTACAAGGGAACACGATTCACTGGTCAAACAAGTGTGTGCAAAGGAGTGAACAACACTAATACGAGTCAAGGATAGCAGATTCTTACTGATCATACTCATGGTGTGTTCAAGGAAAGTACTGTTAATAGGAAAGATAGGGGCGATACGTGGAGCGTGCGAAAAATTAAACAGAGAGACAACAAACCGGATTTGACATGTGTTAGATTCATATGCGGTTAATCTGTTGGAGTAAAAGCAACAGGTTAAACCGACAGAAGTAAGCTGGGTTTGTCAGTTGTTACAGATGTATGCATTAACTGATGTAGCAACTGTCAGTTGTGTGATTCCAAACCAAATCCAATATCCGGTCTTACACTCGTCAGGTTATTCTGCCGTTTGCACTTAGGCTTCTTCTCTGTCTTTGTGGATCCAACTCCACATAGCCGCCACCTTCTTTGTTCTCCATCTTGTCATGATAAGCGTTTGCTAGTTTTAACTCACGCAGTCGCAGAATACCATTCGGGCGCTTCGTCCAGTCCATACCCAACCAAATGTAAAATCACAGTTCATCTAATTTCACTCGGAGTCCTTAACCTTTTTTAACATTGTCATACCTTTGGGTGCATGCTTTTTTGATATCTATCAAAAACTACACTCGAGCCGATATTAGAGACCCTTTTCATCAATATCTGCTGGTATTTGGATGCCCATCTGTGATACTGGGGCTCTGCAATCACTCCACGATCTCCTTCATGTAATACTGACGAAACCTCATCGCGTATATCCGGAGATACTGCAGCTTACAATGCTGGTCATGCGGGTTTAGATATTTTTCTGATTCCTTTGGCTTCAACTGCTCCGATCTATCGGATTCAGGTCAGTAACCTGATATGCGTTGTCGGAGTGACTGGTGTCCATAGCTCCTAACTCGCACGGGACTGCATGTACCTGTTTGTCATTTCTGTCTATGCCGTTACAAGCTGTAGCGCTGATTTTTGTGAGATGAATTCCATCTTCATTTGAACACTCCTTCGTGCTGATACTGTAATGCTGGCTGAGGACTTGAATTATCAAATTAGTAAATTATACAGTAATGAACCGCATCTGGGAAGCCAACACAGTGTGGGCTCCCGTAATGATAACGTTAAGCGGCTGCTGCATTTTTGTGCAGATGTCCATCTACTTCTCTTGAACGCTAACTCCAGACAGCACCCACGACAGATTACATGGCACCCATACGCCTTTTACCAACCGTAGACTTAGCTCGATCACGTGCTCAGTTACATTTGAAGAGACTGCGTTCAAAATTATCGTCATCGATTTGGATTATGAATTTCGAAGTGGCACTTGTGTGTTCCAATCTTGTACGTTTCGGTGGGCGTATTCGATGACTCTAAGTACACAGTGCTTGCCAACTGGTGAAATCAGGTGTTATGAATGCATATCAACGTACGCTGACATGCTCTCCCAGTAAATATTCACTAAACGTAGTTGATGATCACTTGTCGTTTGTTCGTCAGACAGTATTAACAGCAGTTCTATATTCGTGTGGCAACTGATTACCAGAGTGGGCAGTCAGTCTCTGCTTAGTCTCCTGGATTTCTCGATACTCGCTGACGCATTCTATCTGGAGCTAGATTTTGCTAGACTTGCGCGTTAGCCTGAAAAGAGATTGCAATGCCTGGTAACCTCAGTTTGGTGCTTGCTATTGGTAAGCATCACTTGTTATTCCTTATGCGGGAAACGGGAGCATTATGTCTGGTGTTAGCGAGATTATATACAACGACAAGAGACAGCCTATCCAAAACTTGGCGAAACGTTTGGAGCCCTAGGCTGGACACTTAGGGTAGCAACTTAATTGGTCAAAAATATCGGTTTCCAATGATCGCATTGCTCCATGGTCTGTCTCTTTAGCTCCTCCGTCTCCCGCTGAACTCGAACGCGAAGCAGTACTGTCTAAATTATTTACAACTGCAAGGTTAAATTGAAGTGACCAGCTCTTAGTAGATGACCTGCATGATTTATTTACTGAAACTTTGGGGACACTTCAGCTAGTCTGTCGCGACACTGCTGTCTAAGCCCATGTACAAATCTGACGTGGCGACTCCCACTTTAGATGAGTTTCGTTATGAGCTTGCCGCGTTGAAACAAGACATGGCTGCTAGACCAGATGAACTTTATCTTTTCTGAATTTGGAATTAACTGTTGACCGGACTTTCTGCTCTGTTTAACACTATTTGGGACACTGAACAGTTGCTTCCGGACTGGTGAGTGTCAACTTTTATACCCATCTTCAAAAAGCGCAGCGGACTGCACGAAAGTCTTTGAGGCCTTAGGCTTATTTCCATAGTTTTCAAACTTTTCACGTGCCATTCTCCAACCACTCACTGGTCCTCATGTGAGTCGGATCACTGAAAGCCAAACGCTTCCGTCCTGGTCATGGTTGCATCGACCACATATATACTCTTCGTCAAGTATCGGAGTAGAGACACATTTACGGATGACCGATTATAGTAGCTGTCATTGATCTGAAAGCAGCGTTCGTCTCTGTTGCTCGTGCTCGTTTGTGGCACTGCCTATTCGTGAAGGGAATGTCAGGGTACCTCACTTTTATTCCCTAATCTCGTGACTATCATCATCATACACGTTAGCTAGAGGTGGGGAACACCTCAGCTACTGTGCCGCAATACACAGAAAAAAGGAGAAAAAATGCAACTGGTACAAGCCGGCCGAGCTACTGGTTGTGGATGGGCATCGTTCCGGTAAGCTACCAGCCGGCTACTGTGCATCAAAAAAATACTATGCGAAATTATATGAAGCTAAGTAATGAGATCGTGGTTGTAGGGGGAGGCTAAGAGGGATGGGCTGGGACAAAGCAACTCACAGCACGTACGCCACTGAGGTCGGTTCCTAGCCATATCAGCAAGTGTGTCCAAGCAAACGTGTTCATCGTCTTTTGGACCCCAGCGAGGGAGCCGAGACGCTCCAACCGAGGCCAGCTCAGACGTGAGGGTCTTCATTCCTCTCGACCAAGTCATCGCTTGGCCACCCCTCTTCTTCTTCCATCCACACCCCCGGCGCGCAAACAACGCACGTCGCGGAAGTCGGTGGGCTGGCATGCGCAACACGTGGCCGAGCCATCGGAGCCTGGTGCATGAAATGACGATGCTGGGCGGTTCATTTTCTTTTCCTGTGCCGTAAACAAGACGTCGAACACGCTCGTTGCTCACGCGGTGTTCCCACCAGATGTGAGCTAAATTAAGAAGGCACCGATGGTCGAACGTAACTAGCCTCTTCAAGTCCGCTGCTTTAAGCGGCCAGGTTTCACAACCGTACAGTAGGGTCGAACGTACTGCTGCATTGTACACTCTACCCTTCAGGGCAAGAGTGATGTCGCGCCGGCGCCATAAGTGTCGAAGATTAGCGAAAGCGCCTAGAGCTTTTGCTATACGGTTCTTGATCTCATCCTCAATCCCACGGGCGCTGATACAACTTCCCAGGTAGTTGAATTTTTGGATGACTTCTAGCTGATCCCCACCAACGGTCAGTGTAGGAGGCGGTCCAGACCAATCTTGGAGGAACGCTTTGCACTTCGAGAGTGCGAAGCAAAGCCCGAAGTGACGGACAGCTAGTGCTAATCTGTCCAGTGCCGCCTGACACGTTTGTGAGCTGTCAGATTAAGGCAATATCATCAGCATACTCTAAGTCAAGAAGCCGTCCTCCTGGGAGCAGATCCACACCTTCTAAGTCGTGTCCTGTGAACGCGATGTCCATGACTTCGTCAGCGGCGAAGTTGAAGAGGAAAGGTGACAGCGGGCATCCTTGTCTCACGCCGCTGGAGATATTAAAGGGCGACGATAACTTGCCTTAAGCCCTCACTCTGCCCGAGCTACGCGCATATAATGCTCGGATAATATTCACATATTTCTCAGGCACACCTTTCCTGAGTAGGCAGT